TTTAACGTTGTCCTCTATGTCACTTCCCCGTGTGGGTTCCGAGGCCCTATTATAGGGAAAACAAGAATAGACGCACTGCCTAACCAAAAGCATGTCGTAAGAGTCGACTAATTTAGAGCTTCCTTCAAAGTCGAATTGCATCTGCCTGAGAGGCACGGAACCAACTGTCTGCATACAAATGAGTCAGATCTGTTAAACGGATGCACACGCAACACTCAGGTTGTGGAACAGGACCGCAGTCCAGAAGTGGATGAACAACCAGAACTTTCTGCCAGAGTTTGCAGCTGGTGAAAGAAGAAGAAGAATTCTCCTTGCACCATAGCTCCAACATACCAAGAGAAATATTGCTTTATAGAATTCATTGATTCATTACTCTGTTGTGTCATTGTACCTCACATAAGGCTCGCAGTCTATTCGTTCATTCCGTTGTATACTGTGCAGTCAGTTCCCATATCATGGATGGAATCCAGTACAGAGCTTTGGCATCTCTCATTACCGTTCGTCTTATGATTTCCATTGGCGTCCTTGCCTCCTTAATCCCTTTATTACCCATTGTAATGCCTGTTTGGTGATTTTTTGCTGGTTTCTTCTCAGGACGTGTCCAATGTTGCGCCATCTTCTCTGTCTTATAACTGTTGATACTAGCGGTTGTCCAGACTTTAATCTAGAATACACACTCTAAATAAAGTTGACTATGCTCGACGTCTGCTAAAATCAAAAGCTTGACTTCTGCATTCTGTTTTTTATTTCTCTGTCCAATCCTCTGCCGTCATTTAATACAGGGTCTAGGTACTCAAACTTGTTGTTTTTATTTGTAATGTCTGTCCTTCAACAGTGATGATTATTTTCAAGTGGCGTTCTATGTACTCTCATTGTTTCTATATTTTCCTATTATGAGTATAACTTTTTTTTCAACAGGTAAGTAAAAAGTAAAGTGAACGATACTTATCCCCGCCTTCAAGTATATTTGGCATACAGGTCTAGATCTATATTTTTAGACCAATCGGCACTTAGTGGGTGGTGTGACCAGCATCACGCCGACCGCCTTTACTTCCCAGGACTGCACCTCGTACCCACGTCAACCTGGCAATCAAGGTCTTTTTTTTTTTTTGAAGTCCGGCTTCGTCGGGACCCGAACATACGACCTTCCAATCCGCAGGCCAGCGTCTAGCCGCTACACCACGGCGACTCCCTTGGCAACAGGTGTTGAAGCTTTTGATGTAACGTTGGAGGTTGTCATTATCTTTGTATACTAGGTTCAATGTGTATCATTTGTTGTTATTCAACAACAGCTTTGTTGGTGCAAATATATTCACTCATTATAGTACACATAGTTTGTTTTTTAGAGCTAACTATTGTAAACTCTTCAGCGTGTCCTAATGTCTCTCTCTTTCAACTGTGATGATTATCTTAAATTGGTATTCTTTTCACTGTTAATATTTATGATATTTTCATATTATGCGTATAATTTTTGCAACTGGTGTTGAGGCTGTTCATGTAGCGTTGATGGTTTTCATTATCTTTGTATCTCTCCTTCTGCTTTTCTAATCCCCACTGGAGCATAGGCCCTCAACCAACTCACGCCGAGTCGTTCTAACCTTTTCTATCATATGCAGCTTTCCCCATACCCTCCCCATATTTTAAGCATTACTTTCTAGCTTCCTTCTCCTTGTGTGTGTGTGTGTTGGTTTTTTTTTTTTTTTTTTTTTTTTTTTTGGGGGGGGGGGGGGGTCATCTTTATTTCTATACCACTGTGGGTTCCAGTGTAAAGACATTCAGGTTTTAGAACTTTCGGGTATTTGCTTGTTTAAGAGGTTCAAAATGTATCATATTTTGTTGTTCGAGAACAGATCTGTTGATGAAACTACGTTCGTTCATAATATTACACACAGTGTCTACTTTTCAGAAGTAAATATTGTGCTAAGAAAGATTGGAAACAGCATCACTAGCTATTTTGAAATCTGCAAAGATGGCGACACGTGGACACTTCACATAACTTCCACCTTCAAGAATCAAACACTCGTTTTCAAACTCGGAGAACCAGTCGATGAAACAACATTAGACGGTCGGAAGTGCAAAGTAATTATTATCATCATCGTCGTCATCATCATCATCAAATTCATCATCATCATCATCATCACCACCAGCCAAAGGTGCCATAACATTGGCACCCCACGATCCCCAAAAAATATGTCTCTGATGGAGCAAGCGATCCCCTCTCTCCATATTTAAAAAGATCTCTTTAAATTTATCTCCTTATGCATTGTACATTATTTTTAAAAAAATTATTATATCTATTTCCAACTCGACACCTTATTATTATTGTTATTATGCTCTTAAACTAGAATTAAAACCCTTGACTCCTTGAGTATCAGAAGATTTTACGAGATATTCCCAAATGTATAAATAACCCGAAGGAAAGCAAACCAATGTATTGTTTTCAAAGTCGCTAAATGCTAGTGAAGCCAGATTTCTTAATATACTGTGACCAGTTATGAAAAAGGACAAGAACTATTACACGTTGAGTGGGATTCACAGCAGTGCTGACTACACATCACACTTTGTTAGAGGAGCACTTTTTTTTAGCACGTCTTTTTTTTTTTTTTTTTTTTGGGAAGGGGGGGGGGGGGGTAATTTAATGCGCAATTAAAACTATATTTTTTTTTTTTTTTTTTTTACTGTTTAGGTCTTTTCCTCAAATTATAGAAATTATATTTTATGCTTATAATACGTATGTCAAATGTGTTTGTTATTTCAGAGTACGTTTACTGTTGAAGGCAACGTTTTAGCTCAACAACAGGACGCAGTCAATTCTAGTGATACCTCCTCGAAGTACGAGTATGAGGTTCGTGAGGACGGAAAGTTGTATCTGGTATGTGGTCGATTACTTGTGTGTTGCAGTATTTATTTTCCATAAGTATGTTAACATATTTAATTTGTTATTACAAAAAAAAATGCAGTAGGGTTATCTACGATCAGTGTATGACAGTATAATGTTGTAAAAGAAAATAATCCATGTGTGGTTTCCGGAGCCCTATTTGTGGGGAAAACAAGAAAAGACCCACTGCCTCCCCAGGCAAGCATGTCGTAGGAGTCGACTAAATGGGTGTTTCCTTCGAAGTGGGAGTGCATCTGCCTGGGAGGCAAGGAACCAGTAGTCTACATACAAATAAGTCAGATCTAAAAACGGATGTGCACGCAACACTTAGGTTTTGGAACGAGTCTAAAGTCCAGTGGTAGATGAACAACCAAATCTTTCCTCCGGAGTTTACATTTTTTTTATTTATTTTTACGAAATAAGCCAAGAAGAAGAAAGAAAAACAAACAGCGGAACCCGTCACAAAAACATCTTCTTCTTCTGCCTTTCTAGCCTCCAATGGAGCATAAAACATGATTCTAAAAGGCAAAACACGATTCTGAAAGGCAAAACACGATTCTGAAAGGCAAAACATAATTCTGAAAGGCAAAACATGATTCTGAAAGGCAAAACACGATTCTGAAAGGCAAAACACGATTCTAAAAGGCAATACGAGATTCTGAAAGGCAAAACACGATTCTGATAGGCAAAACATGATTCTGAAAGGCAAAACATGATTCTGAAAGGCAAAACACGATTCTGAAAAGCAAAACATGATTCTGAAAGGCAAAACATGACTTTGAAAGGCAAAACATGATTCTGAAAGGCAAAACATGATTCTAAAAGGCAAAACACGATTCTGAAAGGCAAAACACGATTCTGAAAGGCAAAACACGATTCTGAAAGGCAAAACACGATTCTGAAAGGCAAAACAGGATTCTGAAAGGCAAAACACGATTCTGAAAGGCAAAACAGGATTCTGAAAGGCAAAACACGATTCTGAAAGGCAAAACAAGATTCTGAAAGGCAAAACACGATTCTGAAAGGCAAAACATGTTTCTGAAAGGCAAAACATGATTCTGAAAGGCAATACGAGATTCTGAAAGGCAAAACACGATTCTGATAGGCAAAACATGATTCTGAAAGGCAAAACATGATTCTGAAAGGCAAAACATGATTCTGAAAGGCAAAACATGATTCTGAAAGGCAAAACATGACTTTGCAAGGCAAAACATGATTCTGAAAGGCAAAACATGATTTTGAAAGGCAAAACATGATTCTGAAAGGCAAAACATGATTCTGAAAGACAAAACATGATTCTGAAAGGCAAAACTTGAATATAGAAGAAGAGGATGATGAAGAAGATATTCATTTTTCCAAAAGAAGCTGGTTGAACGTGGCCAGATTTTTCCTTCATACAAACAAACAGTCAACAAGTCTATGTCTATTAAGAATACAGGTCTCCCCCTATATGCCTGTTATGTCCATAGTGTTAAAAGACCTTTTCTTTCTTTCTTTCTTTCTTTCTTTCTTTCTTTCTTTCTTTCTTTCTTTCTTTCTTTCTTCTTTCTTTCTTTCTTTCTTTCTTTCTTTCTTTCTTGTATGTCCTTCTTTTTTTTCTTTATTTTTTTTTCTTCCCTTGTTTTGTTTTGTCTTTCCTTATTAATTTCATTGTTTACTTTCTTTTCTTCTTTTCTTTAATTAATTTATTTTTCAGTTGCCATTCTTAGTTTTAAAATCTAAATTATTCTAATGCTTTCTTTTTTCCCTCTTGCAGACTTGTATATCCGTGCCAACAAATGTGGTATCTACGAGAATCTTTCTACCGTATACTCCATAGAGCAGCACTCTGCCGACTGTAACCATATCTAGTGTGTTTGCGTGTGTGTTTGCGTGTGTGTGTGTTGGGGTTGGGGGCGAGGGGGAGATGTGGAGGTCATGAAACAATAAACAACAGTCTATTCTGACAACCCACACAAAGAAGCATGATTTTGTTCCAATATGTTTGTCTCGTTAGTCAAATGACTCATTTATGTCGTTGTACGTTTGTCATCGTGTGCATTTACGTATATATATATATATATATATATATATATATATATATATATATATATATATATATATATATATATATATATATATATATATTTAGGAGGATGCATGTTTCCATTATGTATCCCCATATGAACAATAACTTGTCCTTCCATTTCGTCGTTTAATGTAGGAAGAATTGATACCTTTCGACCATAAGCCAACAGTTATAGCCGGCCTTTGTATGCCATATCATCGAATTATAAGCTTGGATATCTTTACAGCACTCCGGACACGTTCATGGGTGCTCAGATTCCCATTTCAACATATTCATCATCATCCCATGGGTAATAAGGCCAGTTGTGTGTGTGTGTGTGTGCGCGTGTTATAGAGAGTGTTTGTATGCGTGCGCGTGTGTGTATATATCCAAGTATGCGTGTGCAGTTAAACTACCAGATAGATAAGGTTAAACTAAGAGACAGGGTGAAGCTAAGAGACCGAATCACTGTTTCAAACTAACTGACAGAGAGTAATACAGATTCTGAAAGCCTTTCTACCCATCTGACACACACAGATATGCAACAATTCCTTTTCGGAAGCCTAAGTATCTGACGCAAGCAGTGACATAACAAGCCTCTTCATTTGAAGACATTCTCTGAAGACCAGGGAAAATTAATAGGCGAACTTGCATTCACAATGACCTGGAGAGCTTGCAATACGGCTCTTCACGTATTGTTGAGACTGCACAATAACAGCATTGCAATCTTGTCAACCGGTGATTTATTTTAAGATAAGAATCGCGGCCAAAGTTTATCACCGCTTCTCAAGGTTTGTGTTGTGATATATGAAGATGTAAGTACTGCATGTTGCTTTCTGCGGATCAAATGCTTATGTAATAGTAAATATTTATGTTTTTTTTTTTTTTACCTTTTGTTGCAGTCTGTATTTATTTATAACTGATTAACATGATTAGTACCCTGGAACTCATCGTACTTTCATTGGTTAGTTCAAGCAAAGTCTACCATCTTTTTTTTCTCTCCTGTCATAGGGAGTTATTTTACTAACTCACATTATCAAAATACTACGTTTAGCGTCTTTTAATTTTTTTTTTTCCTAAAGTCTGCTGGATCTGCATCGCTTGGCGGTCTTCTTCTTCTTTCGTTCGCCTGAAATAAGTTGTCTATATCAGCAATTTTGTCTCTTGTATAAATTTGAAAGACTTTATAGTTCATTCAGTGGTCCATAGAGTTTACGTTCTACGGTTGTTCTTTCTGGCCAAAAGTTTGCATGTGTATCTGTTCCTCATTAAGAATATTTTCTAACTCCTAGCTTTTTTTTTTTTTTTTTTTTGTAATCCCCTCCGCATTCCAGTGCATTAATTTGAATCCTTTCTTAGCTCGGCCAGATGCTCTATTCTCGTGTCCCCTGGCCCCACAGGACATTTGAGAAGGGCCTCCAGTAATTTTGGGCTGGGCCTCTTCGAGGCAGAGGGTCCGGCACCGCTCCTGCCTGAGAATCATGCTGATATTATCAATGTCCTCAGAGAAATGGGAAGGATAGACGACTTTGGTGGCAGTGAATCCACATCACTCGCCAGAATGGCAGACTTGGGAATTAAGATCGGCACAGCAAAAAACGAGACGCACACCAGCTACGCCAGAAGACTTGTTAATCAACATAGAACTGGTACTATTAGCCATCGGACGTTGAGGTTCATCCTGAGGGGAGGATCTGAGCACCTATGGACATGTCCGGAGTGCAATGAGGATAACCCAACTAACTAACTATCTAACTATCTATCTATCCTGCCTGAGAGTCCATCACAGGGCGAGCACCATAACGTTTTGCTGATTTAGACATATTTCCATGGCGTGTCTGCGTGGCATCCTGTTTGCAGTGGTGCGCCTCCTGGCTGGTTGCCTCCGACTTCAGCACCTTGCTTTGCTAGGGTCGACTGTGGTCATACTCGAGGAGAGTAAGCTCATTTCTTCGTCTTTCGCCTTTACCTCGTTTGTTGTCCCATCCAGTTTCCCGCTGGGGGTTAAGACCCCAACTTTCAACTGGATTGCTGGGAAGAACAGGGTCCACCACGTGAAGGTGAGGTAGGCTTGATCAAGAGAGGCTAATAGAAATTAAGAGTCTTATATTGCGCATCATTGCTCCATTAGGACCGCTTGGTGGTGAATTGATACATGACAAGACAGATGTGGTCAGAGCCCTTTGTTGTGTGCAATATATGGGAAGGGAAGTTCATTGTTGAACGTGGGACTTGGTGCGGTGCGCACACATTGAACGTAATGTAGATAGAGAGAGAGAGAGAGAGAGAGAGAGAGAGAGAGAGTGAGTAACGGTGGACTCTACTACGCTGTGTAGGAAGCCTGTTCTAATCTGGATGGATCCAGGCTGGTCCTGCATAACTGTGTTACGCTGGCGGTAGGGTACGGGCTGTCTGTGAGTGTTGTTACAGCGGTCGCGCCAGCGTGACAGACGCTCGTGTGGCCGCAGACGAAAGGTCTGGACAAGTTTCACAATGTACTGTGCATCGGCCTGTATGATTCTGCTATGACAGTGTACCCAAGGGATGGGTGTCATAGAGGTAGACACATAATCACGAGTAGTGAGTTTGCACGAGCAGGTAATGTTTGCTCGTAGTTGACCACGGAACAGGGTGGCAGTAGAAGTAGCCCAGAGCGTCCGTAGTGTGTGTTGCCTTGCCAGTAGGAATGACTGTGGCGGTGTAACGTTTTATTCTCGTGATGCCTTTCATTGTTTTGGTGTTGAAATTAGAAATACATTAATTCTGTTTGACGTTCAACATGTATCCGGCGTCCTTATTGCTGTTGGGCGGGAATGGTGACTTGTTACTGTAACACTATTTAACATACCATGGATACTTGGCAAGTGTGCTTTGTATCAACGAACATTCGCACACGTCACCCTTTGGGAACAATTAACGCAGTCAGAAGAGAAACTAGATCGTTATGGGCTGGGGATAATGAAGCACCTGGGTGTGACCAGAGGGTTTGGCCGGCACACTACGCTCAGAGGAAAGGTAACACGGACATACAACCAGACTTCGACCGGCACCATTTGTATTGGAACTCTGCGCTGGCATCAGAGGATGGGGACCGAGCGCATATGGGAGTGCTCCGAGTGCTGTGATGTCATGATGTCAATTCTTGACTCAGCTCCACTCAGCTGCCTTGAGTACATGCCGTGTGGCTTTCGCAGACATGTCAAACCCACAACCTTCTGTCTCGTGTACTTTCAATCAACTCTGACACAGATGATCCTCCATGCCATGATATCGGACTGTCCAGCATCTTTTCTCTCGGTCTCCCTGTGCATTTCCTTCCTTCCAACTTTCCTACTGTCACGATGTACCCCAATTCTTCTAATTATCAGTGTTATTCAAATTTATTCAGTCTGAAATATTGCCTGCTTTAGAGCAGAACAGAAACAAGAATAGTCTGTTACACTAAGCACTTCGCGAATGGCTGGTCTAACCTTCACCTTTGTACAAGTTTATACAGGTGTTCAAGGCAACGAGCGTGTAGATTATTTTGCAGACACTGCGGCTGCACTAGACAGAATCAATGTTATCAATACTTACTGCAAAAACGAATGTGACAAAGGGCATAACCCCGTATCCTTGTCTGGAGCATCAAGAAATATTAATTTCACTGAAGGGACAGGAGTCTGATTACTCAACAGCCACCAGGCGTCACCTTTGATTAAGCTTGTGCGGCTTTTGAGGAGAAGACTGGAGCACCTGTGGATCTGCTGGAAGTGCTGTGATGATATTTCGCACTGATCATTTATCGAACAATTTATGCTCCGTGCAGGTTTCGGTCGCCATTATGATGCAAACAAGAAAAGACCCACTGACTCCCACACAAGCATGTCGTAAGAGTCGACTCATTAGGAATGATCTTCGAAGTCGGAGTGCATTTCCCTGTAAGGCAAGAAACCAACATTGGCATACATATGAGTCAGATCTGTAAAACAAATAGACACGCAACATTCAGCTCTTGGAACAAAACTAAAGACCAGAGTTGGACGAGCAACCAAAACTTTCCGCCGGAGTTTATAGCAGGTGAAAGTCAAGAAGAAGAAGAAGAAGGAGGAGAATACATTATTTGCAGGCACCGAAAGAACTAGTTGTCCTACTGGGCAGGCTGTAGCGGCGTGGGGTGATCGCTGTCAAGATCCTGCTACTGCTGGATATGGAGTAAATATAAGAACACCGGCAAGAAAGAATGAACAACCGAACTTTATTTTCAAAGGGTTACAAATTGGGCACGTAGGCCCGTCTCACGTTCGGCCCTTCTAAGCACTTATTTTCTGAACACCATTGCCTGTTATCAATAATGCATGTTATGTTTATAAAGAGGAAACTGCGTGGTCTCAAAGCATGGTGTCCGCCTCGAATGCTAGAGGTTCCGGGTTCAAACTCTGGTTAGGGCTGGGATTTTTTCACGTAGACTCAGACTTTTAGTAACGCCTTGCTCTCTGGATAGTGAGATAGGACGCCCGTGCGCATTGTTGCGCGCGTAACACATCCCTTGGCAGTTGGAAATCAAAAAGAGTAGCCTAACGGCGCTGCCAGGTCACAATTTAGAGTTTAAAAATCTAGCCAAAGTATTTATGGATCCTCGTACAAAATGTGCGAATATCACGGTGTACAGATGGACGACAGAATACACGACAGCCAGTGAACTGCCGGGGGAAATGACAAACGAGCCTGGATATGATTAGGCTGAAGGTAGTCGTCGACAGTCTGTTCTAGTGACCCGTCTGGACAACTGC